GGGGTGGGCCGTGGCCGGGGTCGCGCCGTGGGTGCCCACTCAAGAGGTGGTCGTGTCTTTGTAGGGATCCAGGTGCGCCACGACCAGGAGAGCGGGTACATGCACCACAAGTTCGCGATAGTGGACAGGAGGATGCTCATCACAGGCTCCCTCAACTGGACCACCCAAGCTATCCACAACAACCGGGAGAACTTGCTGGTCGTGGAAGACGCTGAGTATGTGAAGCCTTTTCTGGATGAATTCGAAAAGATTTGGGAAGAGTACAATCCCGTCAACTACAGGTTTTTTCCCAAAGACAGTAAATGATTGAGCTGCCTCACAGGGCTGGAGGGGCACTTACCAGATAGCATTCATGGCCTTGATTATTATGGCTAGGCATCGTGTTAGCCATCCGGGTGTCATGTAGGTAAGCTCCCTGGAGAAGCAAAGTGCTGCCCCCCACCCTAAAGTGCCACAGGTCCCTTGCTGTGGGGTCATTCCCGTGCTCGGGGGAACAACGCCAAGTGGTTGGCGCGTTGTTTTGTGAGGATGGCTGGGCTAGGACTGCATTCACAGAGCTTAAAACTACAGGCAGGCCTGTTGCTGTGCCCTGGCACAGATGAGGTGTCTTTGTATGGTGCTGGGTAGGTGTTTCAATGGTGAAATGGGACATTTTCCAGCTTGGGATCCTGCAGAATTGGAAATTAATCAGAATTGTAGCGCAGTGGCTCCTCTACATCAGTAGCTCTAAAGAGGACTACAGCAAAGCTAGAGTTTGGGTAGGGAGACTAAGCACCTTAGTTACATTCCTTGTTGGCATTAATTGTTGAAAGTTTGTAAAAGGAAATCTGTGGGAAATAGGGCAGAAATTAGAAGTGTGTTTTGGTTGTGTACACGGTTCCTTTGGTTTAAGAGTAGCAGAGTTTCAGCGCAAAAGCGTGAGCACGGACACTAACGACAGCTCGTCTTCCAGCAAGCAAGTGTAGGAAAGTCTGGAAAGAAATGGGAGAAAGGGTTCTTTGGGATCAGTCGGTCTTGTCTTGAGAGCAGACACGGCTGGAGCTTGGTCACTGACTTTGGAGCGGTGGACGGAAACCCTTCAAGGTGGGGACACCCTGTCCTGGTCTGGTTTGGTGACTTCGACCGCCTGTGTTGGCAGCAGCAGGGTGGGGGACAGGGAGGGAATGGCGAGAGGGAGGCAAGGTCTCTCTGTCCCTCCAGTTCAGGGTAGAACAAAGCTGGGCCTAAACTTAGGAATTTCAAAACTCTAAGTAGCGTCTGTGTAAGAATTACTTTATACTCAACATAAAGTGCCCCAAAATCTCTCAAAATGAAGAAAGGCCTTAACCTTTTGTTACCAGTTTTGCTTGACAGAGTAGCGCTGTGACTGGCACTATTAAATCAACCATTTTCACAGAAAAGCTCAACATCATCTTTGCTGTTTGCTCTCCAGGTAGCCCTCGTGGGTTGGTTGTTCCAAAAAGATCCACATTAGTAAAAATTCCTGTAGAACCTTAGGTGTTCTTTAGGATACATGGAGTAACGTCAACAGATTGCAGATTTGCTCTGTCCTGGTTGAGAGTTGGCCTGGGTCTGGGGAAGAAAAAAAAAAAAACCCAACCCTGCATTTCTGTTCTCTATGGTGTAGCAACTGTGGGGGCAGCTGAGGAAGTTAATTAGGTAGCAAATCCCATTCAGCAGTGTTAGACTCACACTACTTTAAACATGTTACTGCTATTAAAATGCTACTTGTTTCATTTTCTTTGTGAAGTGTGACTACAAAAGCAAATGTCTCGCTGGGTTTCGGGCTCTGGCTTCGGCTCCGTTCTTTCTGTGGTCGTCTCCTCATTGAAAGAAACACCTCGCTACGCAGCGTGCAAAGGGTGGTGCAAAAATAGTTTATTACGATATAGTTAATGTAAAGTTAGGTAATTATATTTACAAAATAAAAATGATCAGCTACATCCATGGGAACCTAGCATGTCACACAAGATTGTGTAAGGAATAAATACCGTGACAAAAAGTGACGTTTCTGTTACAGTGAGCAGTTGATTGGGAACGGTGGCTCTTATAAAAAAGCACTGAAATAAACTGGAGTGGAAGGGAGAAGGGGAGAGGAACTCGGACGTGCTGAGAACCAGGAGCCTCCGACACCTATTCCCCTTGGCAGAGGGAAGATACAACGTGCGAGACGTTATTTCCCGGACTAATCTGTGTGGAAAATGCCCCTTAAAAGAGGCTGTTACACCCTGCGATGGACGGGGCTCAAGGATGGGGCTGCCTCCTCCTTTCCCCACTGCTGTGATCCTTTGGGGTTTGAGCCGCAGGGATTTCCAGCAGCCACGAGGCTGCCACATCCCAGTGCTGCCTGCGTACGGCTGTCCCGCTCCGCTGCCGCTTTCCCACTCGGCCACATCCCAGGTCGGAGGCGGAGGGCATCCCAGAAAGTGGGAAATGACTCTTGCGTCCTGGTTGCTCACAATTCCCTTGGGCCGTTTCCGGAGAACAAGCGGTAGAGCAGGGTGCGTGTGCGGTTTTAATCCAGAACGAGTCCCCCTTGGCTCACGGGTCAGTCGTCGGGTGAAGCTGTGCTCAGGCAGAACGAAGGCAAGGCGCCGTCCTCGTTGGGACGGTGGAGGAAGGCTGACCATTAGTACCTGAGCGCCACTTCAGAGACCACCCACAGCCTCGCAGAGCTCCCTTCTCTCGCCCCAGAACCTCCTTGCGAATACATCATTCTTTAAAATCTCATTCTTTAAAATCTCAAGTCATCCAGAACTCCAGGTCCCAGGAGGGTGGACCTAGGTCGAAGCCTGCGCATTCGTATCGGCTTCCGTAGTCCCTAGTGCTTTACAACGTACTTTGTGTCTCTAGCGCAGAACAAAGCGTGCGTGTTCGCGTCGATCCCGCGCGCAGGCAGCGTGTGAAGGAAGCACGAGGAAGACGATGGTGATCGCGCTCATTATTTACGAGCTCGCGGCCAGCTGGCTTAGTTCCGTTGGTCCCAGCGTGTCTGGCTCATCAGGTCTCTGCTAGTAAATCCCACGCCCTCGGTCGCTTTGGGAGCCTCACAGGGCGAACCGCTGGGGCCGCCGCCTGCGTTGCTTCCAGCCCGCTCCCCGCTCCCGCAGCACGACGGCCGCGTCCTCTTGCAAGGAACGCTTTGTCCTACGGGATCGCGGAGGTTCGGCTCAGCAGTAACCACGCTGCACTGAACGTTAGGGCTGAACAGTTACACACCGCGAGTTACAGCGCACGCCCAGGACGTCCGTCTGTACGGCGCAGGGGGTGGGGTGGGGGGTGACGGCTCGCAGGCGCGGGGTGTTAATGCCGGTCACCGAGTTCTCTGAATGAGGAAAAAAAAAAAAAAAATTAAAAATAAAACCAAACCAAACCAAGTTTATAGCGCGGTGAGGTTACAGGTCGCAGACTGTACACAATCTTTGGACAGCTATCTTCAAACTAAAGGTAGGGGTCAGCAGAAAAGGTTTTTTGAAAAGATATTTATAACAGTCATCAAACCCAAACAAAACAGTTTGTCGGGGCGGGCCGGACACGTCACAGTCGGCGCGCCTCTCCCGACCCGCGCGTGGGACATCCGCAGTAGAACAAGATTTAAAAATCATAACCCACAACTTTTAGTCACAAAAAAGAGAACCCTCCACAAATTTCTGAGTAATAAATATTTACATTGCGTGCTTTGAATACTATACAGGTCTTAAATTACTTTTTTAAAAGAGAAGACTAACAAAGTTTTGTGGTTTTGTTTTGTTTTTTTTTTTTAAAAAAAAATGGAAAAACTTACAGCGGCAAGGCAAGCTACACCGAGCGTGCATGTGCTTAAGTGTTCGCAGCAGCCTAAGGACTGTATCCCAACCACAGAAAGGAGAAGCAAAGGGCTCGTGGAAGTGCAATCGAGTGCAGGGTTGGTACAAAAGTGACACGTTCAAGCAGGCCAGTCCTCCGCGGTTTCAAGGGGAAAAAAAAAAAACCAAAACAGAGACTTTTCTGGTTTGCCGGGCAGCACACAATTTGCTTTTTTTTTTTTTTTTTTTTTTTTTTTAAAAAATGCAGGCAAAGGAAAGGTCACATTTAAAGAAGGACTCAGTCTCTTTCAGGGGAGACGGCGCAAATGGTAAGGGAATTTTACGCAGGAAAAAAAAAATATTACTTGGAGCCAATTAGGCGGCGTCTGTGTCTGCGCCTTCGTTGCGCTTGACTTTTCGTAGCCCTCACGTTTCAGTGCTCCCAGTAACGCTGGTATCGAGCGTGACAGCTTGAACTAACAGCAAGAACGGTGCAAGCCGCTTGCGCTGCGTACGCACGGTGCCTGGGGAGCATCTGAAGCCGGGCACCTGCGAGGCCCCGTCCCGCTGCGCCCAGCAGCACAGACCTGGGCCACCGCAAAAGGCGAAGCCCACCCGGGAGCGGGGCGATGCAGGTGATGGACTCTGACAGCCTCCAGTGCCAGCGGGGAGCTCACCCTCTCCTCCCGGTACCTTTTTCCCCTTCTCCACGCACCTGATTTAAATACCTGCTGATTTATCTCGCAAGACAGATGAAGCCTGGAGCAGGAAGAAGCAACAGGATAACGAAGGACCATTGCTAGCAGTAAAAAACTTTCCAGGTGGCTTTTTTTTCCCCCTTGCTTATTTTAAAGCGCTGCTCTCTGCAGAAATCTTTCTGTTTTCAGCTCTTTATTGGTGCTGCAGGGTCCCTCTCTCTCTTTAATGTAAAGGCAGGTACTGCCCCTTGCTCTGGAGAGATGCTTCCATCGTTGCCAGCTTGCAAAGCGGAGCAGAGCCCGAAGCCTGGAGCACGGCCGGCAGCAGCAGTTCAGACCGTCGTATGTCCGTGTTCCATCTGCCACACCACAGCACCTTCCCTCCTCCTCCTTCTCCTTGTGACCCCCCAGAACTCGCAGCTACCGCCGCAGGACGTCGCCTACAGCGTTCCCACCCGGCGAAGCGCTGCCCCAAAGCGTGCGGATGATCCTGACGATGCCAAGAGGCCACCGCTCAGCCCCCGATGCGCCCTCGGAACAGCAGAGCCAGGTTTTCCATTTTCATTTTCAAAGGAGCCAAATTCCCCCGTGGGGAGATGGCTGCTCCTACAGGCTACAGCATGTGAGACCACCACCACCGCTATGCTCGTGAAAGACCCCTTTGCTTACCAGTAACTAAACCCACAAAGTGCAGCAATAAGATTAATTGATTAGGCTCATTAACCATTGCTAAAACCATGACAGTGGTCCCTCCGCACGCCGTGTTCCCTGCCGCTGTCCTCCTGCCACCCAACACCGCCACCCAACACATTTTATTTTAGCTATGCCTGTGCCAGGGGTTTCTTTTTTCCCTGCAAACCTGCCCAGTTTGCTTTTCTCAGCTATTTGAGGTCCAGAGAGGCTGACTGATACGTATTAAAACTTCCCCGACAGCAAATCTCTGCGCTGCGGATCCCCCGGGGCTGATCCTGTTCCTACAGGAGTCCTAGCAAACCTCAACTCAAAGCATTTTTACAACTGTTTCGGGGAGCCCGTAGCAGGGAGGGAGGGTGCTGCAATGACTGGCATTTTCTGTATGTTAAGCTGAAAAAAAACTAGAGGAAAGAGAGGAGAAAAAAAACCCCCCCCAGCTTCATTCCTGCGGGTGCTGGATCCCCTGGCAGCGCCTCACTGGGGAGATGCAAAGCACCGTCTGCTTTGCCCTGCGTGAAGAATCGGCACAAGCGGCCCTGAAGTTCTGTATGATCCCTCAGTTAGCATATGGGCGCATCTACAGGGAAGGAGCAAGAGCTGGACAAGTGTCCTGAGTGACTTTTCTCCCCACTAAACACCAGAATAGTTTTATATGTGCACAATTACCCCCCCCCCCCCAGCCTCTCTTCACAGGGCAATTTAGGGCCAGAGCACAAGCAGAGAGCGCATCTCCGCACCCTCCCTGCCTGCAGAGCCCACGAGCTTTTTACAGCTCCCCCGTGCCACTGCTTGGTTATCGCACCTTCTTCTGCCTTCCTGCACTACCCACCTTTGCCCACCGCAGTGCCTTCCTACCCATCCTCACCCCTTTCTTTTTTTTAAAAATAAAATGCTATTAACGTATTTACACTGCCGAGTCAAAAGCTGGGGGTGATCCCCACCTGATCGCTCTGCGTGTGCCCTGCACTTACCCAGCAGGTCTCTACGTTAAGAAATAAGGCTCAAAGCAGGAGCGCTGGCAAAGAAATCAAGTGCTCTTACTCCCTAGGCTCAATACCTAGTCCCAGGCAGGACACTAAGCTGCAAGAGAAGATTTCTTGGTATGAGCAAGCGTACGGCAGAAGACATCCCTCTGTGAAGAGCCTCAAGATGCTCAGCGGCATGGTCCTGTATCAGAAAGGGTCCATCTTGTGTCCTCCACACCATCGATGTGCCAATGCAGATAGCAAGGTACATAACTTCTAGTCCTCAGGCTTAAAATAAGTGCTCCTGAGCAAAGGAAGCATGCAAAGAAAAAGGAGGATTTGCTAGGGGATGTAAGAAAGGTCAGCATCCACACGGCGAGGAGAGCAGCGCATGTTCTGCTTGGTTGGCTAAAAAGGACAAAGTCCCACCATAAGTCTTGAGAGAGGAAGAGAAGGAGGGCGTCCTCCTGGATCCAGTGTCTTGTAAGGGAAGAGCAATGACAATGACAAGGCCTACGTGCCAGCCTAATGCTGCGTCCCAAGGCCTCTGAGGGAGCAGAGCTCCCCACAGACCCAGAGCAGCCAGGTTATCCCTGCTGAGAGCTGGACAGATGACACTGGATGGGACCAAGCCAGGCACCTGGCCCAGGCGACCATCTCCTGACACAGCCAGAAAGGTGTCTACAATATACAAAATAGAGTGGCTGGAGTCACCTTCCCACCCAGGTAACAGCTCGAATTTAGATGAACCTGGGCCACAGC